TACCTGAGCTCTAGAGGTCTCTGAAACAGCAGTTTAGCCCATGTGTGTGTGTGTGTTTAAGATGCCAATGAGGTTGAACACTCCTAGTCTTTCTCATTCGAGTAAGTGCTCTGTAAAATCTATCCTTGTATTTCACATTTATTACCCATCCATTTAGCTGTACTTACCTTAGGCTTGGCTCGGTTCGAACAATTTCTTTCTTCGAAGCAAGTGAATGTGCGAAATGTTTCCCAACTGGAAATCCATTTTCACAAAGTTTAATGGAAGGGGTGAAAAGTTCTGACCAGGCTAGTTTTCCATACTTCCTCCAGACTTCCCGGTACCCACTCAACTGTCCAGGAACTGCTATTGATAATCCACCTGCATAAAATATATATATTAACAAAACTTGTCCAAAATAACTTCACTCAACTCTCTCCCCCCCCCCCCAGTGGCACAGCGCCATGTCTGCAGACTTACAACGCTAGAAACCGGGTTTCGATACTCGTGGTGGGCAGAGCACAGATAGCCCTTTGTGTATCTTTGTGCATAACTACAAACAAACAAAATAGAAACAATCACTCAGCTCTCCAGGAACTGTTGTTGAAAATCCATAAACATTAAATAAACAGAACTGAAGCTGTTGTGCCCAGGTTGTATTAAAACAAAACTGAAAAGTTCCCTTTTGGTAGGTTATGTCTTTTTCATAGTTAGAAAACAGTATGGAAAATATTTGAATATTTAGAAAATACGATTATATAAATAAACCATAGCAACAACTTAGCCAACATGTGCGACAGCACGTAGATTAACAATCCCGTGCGATATCAGTAGAGTTACGTCACCTCTTTAGTTATCTGGAAGGAATGAAAGTAACTCTCTTGTTTTAGGCCTATGTTCTTGAAGGCATCTTTTAGCTATTTTTAGCCGCGGCATAGCGGCTCATTGAACGGTTCTGAGTTGTTTTTTTTTTCTTTTTTAAGTACAAACTTTTAGCTCATAGCTCCGCCATCTCTTGACTGATTTGAGATCTAATTACACTTTTGGATTCAGCAGATCAAACCCTTTTGATTGATGTATTTGACCACGCTCAAAGTCTCATAGATTAATTTACTCTAATCCCACCTAAGAGAATTTCAAGTGCCGCGGCTAGTGAGGATTCCCTCTCGTTACCCCTTCACCAAATAGCGTTTCACTCATTTTTAAAGATCTTGCACTTTCAATACACTAATTCTACAGAAATTTCACCACGACCGACTTAACCCGATCAGACAGAGAAGCAAGTGAAATATGGATATGTGGTTTCTCACATAAAAAAAGATCTCATCAAGAACAAAGCAAATGTCTTATAGAATAAGCATCTTTCAGCTTCTTAAAAATCCTGGTGTATTTCCCATTGTCATTGCATTTTGGTTCCGATTTTGGTAATTCCACCACAAAATATTGACCGAGAGTATCCCGTTTCCCAAAAATTTTCTGCAGTGCTGGAGATATGTACGTGGTGAAAAATAATGTTTATAAAGCTTTCTTAGATCTTTTTTTGGATCATCTTGAAATCTTATATAAGATCTTTAAAGTAATGATAAATCTCTATGGCCAAATCGTTTACTTCGGAATCGTGTCACTTCAGATCATGTGCAAGTTACACGTTTCAACATCTACCAGTTCAGTAAGCTTAACTTCAACCAGTTTTCCATTTATTACCCTTTTTTACTGCTTTATCCATATTAGGTTCATCTGACCCAAGCGTTTGTTTGTTTGTAGTTAAGCACAAAGCTACACAAAGGGCTATCTGTGCTCTGCCCACCACGGGTATCGAAACCCGGTTTCTAGCGTTGTAAGTCCGCAGACTGACCCAAGTGACAAAAGCTTAAATAACAGAATTTTGTTCCCCGGGGAGTCTTGGAGTGAGGCGACAGAAGCCGCTTCATTTGCATGTACATGACCAAATGTCAGAGCTTACCATAAAAGTACATGAAATGGAAAACAAAAATTGTAACAGGCGAGATCATAGCTTTGAAAACCTTTAACTGGGCCTTCTCACTTGGTATTCATACATCGTAACAGGCGAGATCATAGCTGGGTCTCTTTTTAGTTATTACGTTGATTCTTCTTTGAATAGAAATATTTTGTGCTTCAGACACATCAGTTCTTCCCTTTATCTTCTAGTTGTTACAGAATTTCGACACTTGCCATATTTTTTTGGCTCCGTTATACCACTTATCATCAGCTTGGACCTCGTTTTTACTAGTATCAAATACAAATCTGGGCTGGTGTATTTAATTCTCCAAGGTAAAAATTAAACGGATTTGTTAGAAGTCCGGAGGATCATATCTAATGCAGAATGTGGCAAGCGCATACATTCTACAAATGTTAATATTTCTCGTTTTACTATTACCCGAGCATGTAATCAAAAACCGCCATAACTGTAACCGTTTTCTATTTAAATTCTATAAATAAACTAAATACTATTACGGCCACATATCAATGTCAGAAAGGGGTGGTGATGTAGTGGTTAATACAGAAACTTGCGGAATAATCAAAATATAATAATAATATAGTGGGTACGCGTATAAATGAGTTGTCCTTGAAAACTGTATGAACACTGCGCACTCTGGTGTGTAAAAAGGTAGAGGCAAACACAACAGACAACTGACTGTTATTTGTTTTATTATTTAGACGTACAAAATATCTAGGCAACTGTACAGAGACAAATGATATGTCCCTCTGGTGTCATGTAAGTTCCGTAAAAATTTTTTTTTGTTTTTCATTTCATGTACATTTATGGTAAGCTCTGACATTTGGTCATGTACATGCAAATGAAGCGGCTTCTGTCGCCTCA